TCTAATTCCTTGTGCTGTGCTTCCAAATTCTTTTTCATTTGCTCATGGCGCCGCTGGAGCTAAATCACAGCACAAGATACAAAATAAAACTTCTTAAGAAAGCAGGAGTAGAAGTATGTTTCATCCAGGCATACTAATGTTAAGAGTATGAGCACTGAGTTATCCTGCTATAAATTCAGAATACCTAGAAAGCACTGTTGAGGATTCCTTGTACTTTAGGACCTGCCAACCAAACGGCCATGAACCAAGAGAATAATCTTGGGAAACAGGGGAAAGAAAAAAGGCAACAAACTTACAGGTGTGTAGCACTTTATAATGGACAATTATTATCTTATCTCATCTTTTTTTATTCACAAACATGTCGGAGGCTAGGCAGGGAAGACATCATTGCTCCCACTATACAGATGAGAAAACAGTTGCAGAGTTTAAGTGACTTGCCCAACATCACTAGCCAGAAAGGGGCAGAACCAGGACTTGAACCTAAATCTAACTTCAGGTTCAGAAAGCTGAAACAGGCAAAAAGAAAGCAGGTAGTTAAGGACCTAAGAGCTCCAAGATCCCAGTAAGGTCCCCATTCACATAAGGCAGTGGTTCTCAAACACTGATGCTGGTCTTCAAATCACTTGGGGTGCTTGTTAAAAATACAGAATCCTGGACCTCACCCCAATGTACTGAATTAGAATGTCAGGTGTTAAGTCTAGAAATGTGAATTTTCAACAAGCTCTAGTGATTGTAATGCAGACGATCCTTCCTATGCTGAGAGTTAACGCTGTACAAAATGCTGGCTGAAAGGTGGGAAACGCTCAGGCAAGGTAACTGCAGAAATAAGGAACTTAAGTCTAATGAGTCATTAGGTAAATAATTTCATTTAAGCACTAATCTATTTCTGAAGAAAACAGTCAACAAATTTAAAAGTCAGATTATATCCTACTACACTGAATATCCAAGGACTGTTCAAAATATTCAGTTGTCCAGGAATTATGTTCTATTAAGGTTTTTATTACATCAGTGAGTTAACATCTTGAATTTGGATTATACTATAATTTTGCATACCATTTGTTTTCTTAATTATTTTATAAACTCACAAAGAGTAACTTCATATTTATTTCTATTGCAAATATTTCACGCAATTCCTACAAAACATAACCACCTAATACACACTTAAGCAAACATGCCAAACCTGAGGCAAAATCTTCCTGATTACAGCAAACAAGTTACTACGAAAATGTGAAAAAGTAAGAACATAAGACAGTGATTCTCGATTGGGGGTGCATGCACATTTTGATTTGCCTAATGATCAGGAAGACACTGACACTGGCATTTAGTGGCAGGCACCAGGGATGCTAGTCCTCCAGTGCTCAGCAATCTCAAACCAGGAGAAATTATTTCATATCCCTGCTAAATTAAACTCATGACAAATATAACAGTAGATCAACTACAAGGACATAACAGAAGAAATCTGAATCTGTTTTTAATATATTTAGATACAAATATTATTACATTAGTTAAGCCATATTAGGTTAGCCAAAACACAGTAATCACTAAATTTTATCATAAAAGGTTGTTTTTAAAATATTTCATATTACTGTCATCCTTATATTTAAAAAAATTTTTTATTATTTTAGAATTTTTAATTATAATAACAAATCTATTTTGAGAAAACTTCATATTGAAATCGTTGACTTATTTTGAGTTTATCCACAGTTGTCTTCTACATCTGTCAAACTAACTATGAATTCTTATGTTAAGTATATCTTTTTCTCATCTTTTCTTTCTTGTCACCTATTGAAGGAAAGTCTTCAAAGTTTTTTTGATTACTAAATATATGCCTCAACATCTAGAGGGATTTCAAGATAGTAGATATGTCTGCTGGGATGCTTTGTCACTACCCTGCTCAGTGCTGTAACAGTGGGAATTACTTTGACACTACGTTATAAATAAGGCCCACTAGTTTGCAAAAATACCATATTCCATCATTTCCTCACCTTTGACTGTAATTTATCCAGGCATGTCCTTAGTTCATCTAAGGTTATTTCCTTCTTTTTTCATTCATATACAAATATGTCTAGTTAATTATTATTATCCTAACACCACCAGTTTCTATTCTTACATCCACCCCAAACTCTGATATTTAGTTTTCTTATATCACACGTATTGGAATGGATTAAAATTTTATTTTTCATAACTCACCCATGCTCATTATAACT